AAGCATAAGCACATGGTACTGGGCAAAATCCTATAAAAAGCGGATTCCCCGAGCTGAAAACTTGGAGTTCACGGGGGAGGGCAATATGGTCAGGATGTTAAGGAGGGCAACACGGGTTCGAATCGGGTGACTGCTGATGCATCCCAACTGATTGTCCATGTTGGTCATGCACTTGTCCCATAACTCCAGTTGTCTTTCGGCATCCTTCACACACAAGTCATCAACCTTGCTAGAGCTGGTGTGGAGGATATTGAGAGCAGCTTTTGTACTCTCCCACTCCCCATTTGGCTTTTGCAATTTGGGTTTCAAGAATGAGGACATGATTGAATGTCGTTTCCTTGGTGCACTGAATCGTGATAGTACTGATTCATACACAAAGATGGTTACTGATCCGACTCGTTGCAATGAACACAACACCTCATTGTCCTGAGCGGATTGTTGGTGTTGTGTCTTGTGGTCTTTCTTCATAATTCCAAGGCATTTGGCTGAGATCTTCGCCATCTTCTTTTGGGCTGATATGTAAGCCCCAATTTGGCGTTCCAAACCAATATAGGCTCTTCTATGGAGAGCAGATAGTAGGCCTCGATTTTGCTCTCTCAAGCTGGATATAGCATCTCATCTTGCTGCACGCATCTAGCAATTTAAGAGTCATCGATCATCTCGCCTACAAACTTATCATCTCGATGTAGGGCTTCATGGGAAAGCTGCAATTGAAGAAGTCCATCCAAACCATTGTACAAGTTACTGAGAAAATCGACAAGGCATTGAGGATTTGATTCACAATCACTAAAGCGGAGCACCTTCTCACTCAATGCGAGCAAGAGGCAGTGAGAACCAGGGGGCAAGCTGTTGGAACGGACTTGGAATGAAATTGGGGCATCCATTGTTGCAACTCAAGGACTCTGATCTAACCTTTGGCTTGGGGATTGAACTCGTAATTCTGCCTCTTATACAAGTCTAAGGACGAGACCAAAAGCACCCCTCAATAAATAATGGACTGGCCTTCTTAACACGTGCAATAATATTCTTTTATAGTTTCTAAGGCAAATTGGTTTCACATTTTGGTTGTTCCTAGGCCTCATGAAAAAGAGATCAGCTTGTCGCCTGGGAATCCATAAATGAGCTGCATTTTTTGTTCAAAACATTGTTATTTAATTGTGTTGCATGAGTGGCATGGCAAGCCGTAGCCCAACATTTGGCCTCAAGTTTAATCCTTAGTCTAGATGCATTAAAATTGTTGGAGATTAGGTATTGAGGCTCTCATGCTTGTGATGATGAAGGAGAAATAATATTGATATTTTGATATCTTTTTGGTCAAGGGAACACAGCTCATGAGATGCTCTTTGCCCCCCGTAGAGTTGCCACCCTTGAACAAAGGAGGAGGTTGGCGAGATCCATGATATTGTTGATGAAAAGCTGCCTTAATCATTAATTCTTGGGGTATTGGCAAGGCCTTATATCATTCTTAGGATAGCTGATTCAGCCACTCGCTTTTGTTTTTGTCCAACCAATCTTTTGATCGGTGTTTTCATACGAGTCTTGGGGAAAAAGTGCTTAGCCATGGCCTAAGATGAGTTACTCCGATGAGTCTTAGTGGATTTATTAAGATATGGATATCTTGGGTTCATATTAATATACACCATTATAGATGTATGGGTATATATCTGTTGATAAGATTAGGTCTCTAGGAGATAAGAAGAGACGAAGTTAAAGTTATTTGGTCATCAAGATAGTTTGGTGATAAAGCCTCCTACTATTTACCTCTATCTTCAATAATCATACAATATTTATCTCCTGTAATTGTGTGATTGTCCTCTATATAGAGAGGTACTTATTGATGTACACATTCATCTAAAATAGTGAAGATGTAGCCCGTTGAGCTATGGATTCGTGGATGTAAGGCTTCGTCATGAACCACGTAAATGTTGTGTTCTCTCTTCTTCTCTCTCCATTCTCCATTCAATGATTGTACATGTATGCTCTCATGAATTCTAACATGGTATCAGAAGCATAGATTCCTTGGCTCAGATCTGAGCTCGCCTCCCCCCTGCTTCTCTGAGAGGGGGTAGTGCCACCAGTTATGGCTTTCAAAACGGAGTGGAGTATCGTCCATGTAGACTGAAGGGTGTTTCTATCCTGATGTCTTTGGCATCCCCTAGAATAGTGGCCAATATGGGTGATCGTGGAGATAAGAATGATGGATCGTCCTCAATTAGCAGTTGCATGGAGATTTGTGTTGACAAGCAGGTCTTAGATGTTAGTGGGCGGTTGCCGGAGTGTAAGTTTGCTGGGACTCCATATGTTCCAGTTTATGTAATGCTACCTCTGGACGTTATAAACATGAAGTGTGAGGTCATTGATCTGGATGGTTTGGTAAAGCTTCTATGAATACTAAAGTCAATCAATGTTGACGTTGATGGTTGACTGCTGGTGGGTGATAGTAGAGAGTCATTCTTCACTCGAATATAATTGGCATGGATATAAAAAGCTTTTTCAGATTATCCGAGAGCTGAAGCTTAAGTTACAGGTTGTAATGTCTTTTCATGAATGTGGAGACAATGTTGGCGATGATGTATGCATTCCCTTGCCTCATTGGGTGGTAGAAATTGGGAAATCGAACCTAGATATATTCTTTACAGATCGAGAGGGAAGGTGCAATCCCGAATGTCTCACATGGGGCATTGATAGAGAGCGGGTTTGAGAGGTAGAACTGCCCTTGAGGTATATTTTGACTTCATGAGGAGCTTTAGTGTCGAATTTGATGAGTTTTTTATTGATGGTGTTATCTTAGATATAGAGATAGGTTTGGGTCGCTGTGCAGAACTAAGGTATCCATCATATTCTATGCGACATGGATGGAGATATCCAGGTATTGGGGAGTTTCGATGCTATGATCAATATCTTTTGAAGAGTTTGAGAAGGGTAGCAGAAACAAGGGGGCACTTTATTTGGGCAAGAGGACCGGATTATGCAGGCTGTTATAATCCGTAGCCTCATGATACTAGGTTTTTTTGTGATGGGGTCCTTCACTGGGCTCCTTCAAAGGATTTCAACCGCAGTTGTTGTAGCTTCAATTGCAACTTTATCAAATACAAATAGAGTTCTCTACAGAGTTTACTGATCGATTGCCCTCAACAAATTCCCATATTTCCCAAGGATTGGCCCCAAGTTCCTCTTTCTCAAGCCACTTTCGTGGTCCTAATTTTGGATCTGATTTGTTTCTATGCCGAGTCGTGTCTTGACTCTCTGATTTATCTTTATGACTCTCTGATCTATCTATCTGTCATCTTGTTTTGACTCTCTAATATGTTTTGGACTTTACTATTCTGAACTCCGAAACTAAGGTCCAACTGTGCTTGTTAATCCGCTGCAGATTTATGTTGGCTCTTCCAAGTGCCTGATATTTGATGATTGAATTTCTCAATCCTGGTTGATGATCAAGTTTTTCGATACTTGATCTTGTTGGATGATGCAGTTTTCCGTTGCTCCATCCTGTGAGATGATCGAATTTCTTTCCGTTATTCAATCATGTCTATTGATCGAGTTTTTCGTTACTCGATCCTGGAAATTATAAAAGCCTGTTTGGCTGTTATTGATCGAGTTTTTTGTTACTTGATCTCATATATTCTGAAGGCCTATTTGTATGCTATTGATCGAGTTTTTCGTTACTCGATCCCGGATGTTCCTAAGGTCGTCCGTTCCTGAAGTCTTTCGTTGCTCTTATGTGCTTGTTGTTCAAGCAATCTGAAGATCACTACTCATTTTTGGCAACTTAGTATTATTCAAACTCCAGCTGCTTTGTGTCAAAGCATCTTGAGTTTGAGGGGGAGTGTTAGGATATGGATATCTCGGGTTCATATTGATATAAATCATTATGGATGTATGGGTATATCTTTCGATATGATTAGGTATCTAGAAGATAATAAGAGACCAAGTCAAACTTACTTGGTCATGAAGTTAGTTTGGTGATAAGACCTCCTACTATTTACTTCTATTTGGTCATAAAATTAGTTTGGTGATAAGGCCTCCTACTATTTACCTCTATCTCCAAGAATCATATTATATTTATCTCCTGTAATTATGTGATTGTCCTCTATATGTAGAGATATTTATTGATATAAACATTCAACCAAAATAGTGAAGATGTAGCCCGTTGAGCTTTGGATCTGTGGAAGTAAGGCTTCGGCTTGAACCATGTAAATATTGTGTTCTCTCTTGTTCTCTCTCCATTATCCATTCAATGTCTGTGCATGTATGCGCCCACGAATTCTAACAGGATTTACCCAAGTATAATGCTGGGTCCAAAAACCCTTGAACAATTATTTGTATTTTCTTCCATTAATCCTGGCAATGTGGATTGATGTTCCAGTCTTAAGATCAGATGGTGGGTGATCCACCCCACCAGTATTTTTTAAAAAAAATTATAAAACTATAAATTTGTGAATTGAATGAAAATTATTACACTCAGTAATTTTTGTCACTGACAAAGTGGCACATTTCACTAGGACTAAATAAAACAATTACTAATTAGATTAAACAGTCGTATACTATACACGATGGATGTTTTTGAGAGATAGACATATTCCATAAGGTTGAGAAACCAATTTTGTTCATGGACACGGTCTTTATATTCCTAAAATTCCATTACATTAAGGACTATTAGAGGAAAAAAATGATCTCTTTAAATTCATGAAATTCCTTCCTAAGGACCATTAAGAGGCATCTAACATCTACAATTCTCACAACAGGCATTAGGAAAATTTATATTTATATTTATAATTAAAGTACATATACAAAAAATGGGTCATGCCATAAGAACCTCTTTGACAAAATATTCATGATTTCTTATATAAAAAAGGCTAATCATCTCAAGCAATCCCTTCAATATTGAAAAAGATTCATTTTGTTTAGGACCAATACAAGATCTAGTCGCCGAATTGAATATGATCCATGAAGATGAGATATCAAAGCAAGGGGCCTAGAGATATCAATCAAGAATATTAGTAAAGATCCCTGGTGACTATGGTGTTTGCCATGAAACTATACATCCTTTCAGTTGGATGAACAGCATCAAAGAACACATATTTGATGGGATCGGAGCAGGTCGGTTGTCCCCTACAAGTAGCTCCGAATTCCTGCAGTCCAGTTCCACAACAACCCCTTGAAGCCTCGACGAAACCTGGAAACAGTAATTGACAAACGAAATAAGAATAACAATGCATCAGATCATGGTCTTCAATCTATAGAAGAAGTTCCCAAAAAATTAATTCCCCTTACCATATTTCGAAGGATTGTGCACTGCATCTTGTATGACTTCATATATATCGGCATAGACAACTTTAACGTCAAGACCCAACACTTTGGCGAATGTGGCAAGAGCAGTCTTGATTTTGTTGTTGAAAGATATGGCAATGTCATTGAAGAATAGCGCACAGTCCCCAGCGAGTAGTGCATTCCTAATCAGAGGCAAGCATCCTAATGGAGGGATTCCAACCACTGAGAATCTTCTACCTCCAGCATTAAACATTGCCTTGAGAGAGATGCATGTCAGTAAAATTAAAAATTTATATAAAGTTGCAACCTTAAAATGTAAAATTAAAGATGCACCTCAAAAATCCATCAAAAAACGTTGTTTGAATGTTGGAAAACCCTCTAATTGATCATCTGCATATTGAGATGTATGAATATGAAAAGAAAAAAAGATTTTGAGTCCACGAAATGGTACATCTTGCAATACATTTTCTGGACCATCTATTTTCAAGGTTTTCAGGTGCTTATTGATATACTTGATTTGAACCATTTACAATTAGAGAAGTCAAACCATCTTAAGAATTTTTTATATCAAAATCACATTTATGATTTATTATAAAATTTAGAAGTACATCTTAATTGCATTGTTTAAGGTTGCAACCTTATGCAAACCACACTTTTTACCAAGATATGGATGTCAGTAAGAAGAAAAGGAGATATATAAAAAGAGAATTTATTTTACATATATATGAATATGAACATGCACTTCCGACATGGATACAACTGCGAAAGGTGCCATTCTAAAAAATGATCTTTTTTACAGAAAACTTTTATATGCAACTTAATTTGCATAGAAAATGATGAGCACTATGCGTAGAGTGATAAACATAACCTTCATATGTCACTAAAAGAAACTTAAATTGCATAGAGAATAATGGGCACTATTAAAATGGAAGAGCATGCGTAAACCAAATTTTAGCTTGATATCTACAACTTGGTTCTTCACTGGCAAATTTGCAACTAGGAACTTAGCCATTTGCATCTTATAACCAAATAGTCTATTTATTTCGGAAAAGAGAGAGGTCTCCATAACAACAAGCATTAGTACCTCTTTCTATTGATTTTATTTTATTTTTTATTTTGGGTCAGCTAATTGCATTAGTACCCAAATCAATGAGTTAATTATTACAAAAAAAAAGAAAGGAGTATTCTCCTTTGTAGAATAATAAACATCATTGTTTAAATATATAAAAAGGAGTTTAAAAAAAACAAAAAATAAATTCAATCACCTAGAATAGTATTCTCCTTTCTTGTCATGACAAAAATATTAATTAGAGTATTCAAATAATAGTCTATACACAATAATAATTGCATAAAAATATTGTCAGCCATATCAATTTGTTATTCAAAGAGGTCGCCCAAAAGAAGAAAAGACTTTTTATACCTACAACTTTTTAATGAATAGAGATAATATTCTTGCAGCACTTTCTCAAGGGAAATCTTTTTGTACCTCCCGTACTATATAAAAGTTATATGCTATCCCCTCTCCAGCCGTTCATTCTGAATGGACAGCTCAGATAAAACCAATCACAATGCCACATCTCTACTACACTATTTTATTTTTATCTTTTTTCTACATAACATTTTAACATCAAATTGTGGGCGTCCAATTCTCTCTTAAAATCGTATCTGCAAAAATTATGAAAAGTATTCTGGAAAAATTAAAATATCCAAAATGCCCCTAAAAGTATACTATTTTAAGTGTCCCCTATTGAGATGATGAAACATAGAAAATTTCATATTCATATGATTTATGGAAAAAATAAAAATAAAATACTCTAAAATACAAATCTAGATCAAACGGCTAGTAGCTCACTGGATTAAGGGAGAAGGATGTAAGTTCTATATAGTAGGGAAAATATAGAAAGCTTTTACTTTAGTTTAACTACATTTAAATATTAAAAAAATAAATTATAGAGAAAACCAGGAGTAGATCTCTATATTTTGAGAAATATGAGGGGATTAGGGTTTTAGTTAAGAAAGAGAGTGCATGAAGTCAGGGTTCTAATTTACATAGAGTTAGAGATTGGGCTTCTGATTTACAAAGAGGGTACATGAGCTCGGGCTTCTAAATTCTAAATAATTCAATGAAATATAGTTCTGCAATTATGTGGGTAATAGATTTAGTTTGCCACAATTATAGAGAGAGAGAGGGAGAGAGAGCATAGGGTCCTGTTTGGTTCTTGGAAATGGATATCCTGAGGATATGTTAATCCATGAATTGTTATCTCTTAGAATTGGCACCTCCTAGAAAAAAATTATATAGTATAATGTTATACAATATTGTGATGTATAATAGTATATATATTATATTATATGTTATATTAATATATATTGTAATATTTATTAATTATAAAAATTATAATGATATATATTTATTATAATTTACAAATAACTTATATAGTAATATATAGTGAATTATATTATAATAATAATATATATTAACTGCAATTATAGGTAATTATTAGATACAATTAATGTTGATTATATATTATTTTATATTTATTGTTATTATGTTAAAAATATTATAATGTTATAACATATAGCATTATAATATTGTGTTATGCATGTTATGATATTATATTGTATTAGAAATAATATATAATATTATATAGATAACTAAGAATAATTGAATCATATGTAATTATTAGATACAATTAATAATGAATATATATTATTTTATATTAATTATTATATGTGTTAAAATATTATAATTTTATAACATATAGTGTTGCAATATTACGCTGCGTATGTTATGGTATTATATTGTATTAAAAATAGAAAAAGGTTTATATAAGGTTGTAATGTAGAATTACTGATGCACCTTAAAACTCTATCGAAAAAGTTGTTTTAATGTTTTAAAACCCTCTAATTGAGAATCTCAATATCGAGATTTATGAATATGAAAAAAAATAAAATTTGAGTTCTGAAAATAATGCATCTTGCAAACATTATCTAAACCGTCCATTTGCAAAACATTATCTATACAGTCCATTTTCAAAATTTTATAGATCTACTTGATTTTAAACATTATTGAAGTTTAAAATTTTATAATTAGATATGAAAATAGAAATATTTTGCATCACAGTTAGATGTTATGATCAAATTTGAAATTGCGCCTTAATTAGATTGTTTAAAGTTGCAACCTTATAGAAACCACACGAAAAAGATAGGCTCAAAGTAGGTAAAGTTAGTCAAGTGGGTTAGAAGATAGGAACTTATAGATAAAGTATAATTTAATAATTTTACCTGGTCTGTTCGTTAAAAAAAAGGGAAAGTTTAGAATAAGACTATTTACCTTTGGTACAAAGTAGTCACATTAATCTTGACTATTGGTTGTGAAATTCGGTGTATGCAATTATTCCATTGACCAAGCTCAAACTTCAAAAGAAATTTTCTCGAACTTTGTAAGACATCCAAGATATCAAATGTTACACCGTATGATTGTAAGTATTAGTGACCAAACTGTATCAAATGTGAATGGTCTTATTGTATACAATCCAAAACAAATAATTAAAAAAAAAAAAACTCCATTGTACTTTGGTTTTTGAAACAAATTTCAGCTTTGCACCTTGACCAAACTCAATTGATAAAATGGGCTGGATCATCTTGTTAGCAAGTCGGGGATTTTTAATAAATCGGCTTACTATAAAATCGAGAAAAAATAATTTTTATTACAAAAATTCGGATAAAAAATACGGATCAGCAAAAATACTTTATGTAAAGATATTGCTAATATATTGGACTAGGCTAAAAAAATCAGAGTCCAAAAATCGGATAAGTTAACAAAGATCACAACTACTTCATACCAAAAAAAAAACATACACGATATAAATTTTCATATTAAATAATTTAACAAAGATCACAACTACTTAAAAAAAAAAAAAAAGTACACCGTATAAATTTTCACATTAAATACTTCAACAAATATCAAATCTACTTAAATATCAACATACCCAAAAAAAGACACAATTGTTTACAAATATCAAATCTATTTAAATATCAACATACCCAACATACACCATATAAATCTTCACATTGAATACTACGAGAAATTTTTTTTTGTTTTTTAGAAAAATATAAATAAAAATTCATTTTTTTGGGCCCGTTTAATTTGTTTTCCAATAAAATGCATTTTTAGCGTTTTAATAAAAAAAAGCGATTTTTTGACGAACTGTTAAAAAAAACGTTGTTTTAAACGTTTTTAAGAAAAACTCCGAAATTTTCAAAAAATGGGCGATTAATTGCCGATTTGTTAACTATGGTTCTCAGGGGACCAAATCTGGAGTTCGAAGCACTGAACTCCTTTCATAAATCGAAATGATTTTTGCTCTCGATGGAGCAAACTATCCATTTATTCTAGAGGGCAACAATTGAGCTAGTTGTATCTTTAGGACACCAAATATTTTGGGATGTATATGCTACCACGTGGAGACCAACTCCAAAATAACAAAAATAGATTTTATAAACCGCACAAAAATAATGTCCTAAAATTGAATGAAAATGTCTAATTTTTGGGCCGCACGATATAAGTGTGAAAGAGCTCATTATTTTAGTTCAATGTCTTATTTTTTTATGAAAATAATCATCTAATTATATGTAATAGATTCATATACAAAACCTTCTCCAAAGATGGCTTTTTACCCGACGGAGCAAATAAACAGCTTGCTCCCGTAGTAGCATAGCATACATTTCATAAATGGCATAGCTTACCGAGTAGGCTAGACGGTTTTAAAAAAAAAAGGAGGGTGCTTGAGATGGAGTAACCAAAAATCCATCTGGATCGGTAAATCGGTATTTTAGATCAAGAACAGATTGAATAGGTTGGATTAGACTTTAAAAAGTTTTAAAAAAATTATTAAAAATCATTATAAATGTTGTTTTTTAGGAATCCAATAAGAAATGGGGGTACTACATTAAAAGCTTTTATTTTTTTCATCAATTGACGAATATTAAGATGTTCTTTCTCGGTATGAATAAATTTAAAATTTGTCTTATAATATCATCTAATTTTTTAAAAATATTATTTACAGCTATAATAAAAACAATACATTATATAATTTATAATGTAAATAAATAAACTAACAAAATATAAGAATCGGTGAGTCCGTGAAGAACACGGGTTGCAAAGTATTCTTCACGGGATTCTTCGAAATTTGTCATTTTTTGATCATTTTTCTTGTTTTTTTTAGCATGTGATCTAATTTGCATGCTGTA